CAATTTTGAGTCTAACACATGCAATCTCTTCTCTTTTGTGCAGCCTCCGTCGGCGGATTCAAACAATCCCGCTAGCGTGTCACCGACGGCTGATCACGTCAACCCTTCGCCGCAGTCCGGTCCTTCACCGCTGTCCAGGGAGCCACACCTGCAGTCTCCGTCGCCGCAGTAGGGATGTTGAACTTGTAATAATAAACTTGTGATGTTGAACTTTGGTGCATTTGTGATGGATTTTTGATGGATTTATTAAATATGCGTGTGCTTGTGATATATAATGCATGTTGGTGGTATAGATGTGATGATTGATGTGTGTGTGTATATATATATATATATATTGTCTGTTACAATGGAATGTAAAAAAATTTTGCAATTCTCGGTGTCTTTGCCGAGTGCCTCGCCGCGGCACTCAGCAAAGTTTTTTTTTAAAAAAATCCAGAAATTCTTTGCCGAGTGCCTAAATAGGGACACTCGGCAAAGAAATTATTTAAAAAAATAAAAAAAACTTTGCCGAGTGCCTGGGCAGGGGCACTCGGCAAAGTAATTTTTTTAAAAAAATTAAAAAAACTTTGCCGAGTGCCTGGGCAGAGGCACTCGGCAAAGTACTTTTTAAAAAAAAATAAAAAAACTTTGCCGAGTGCCTGGGCTGGGGCACTAAACAAAGTAATTTTTAAAAAAAATAAATTTTTTTTTGCCGAGTGCTGGGTCGGGCACTCGGTAAAATAACCGTTAACGGCTAGCGCGCAACGGCCAAAAATATTTTACCGAGTGCCGCCCCAAGCACTCGGCAAAATTGTTTTTTATTTTGCTGAGTGCCCCGATAAAAAACACTCGGCAAAAACCCTTTGCCGAGAAAAATTTTGCCGAGTGGACTTTGCCGAGTGCTACACTCGGCAAAGCTTTTGCCAAGTGCAAAGGGCTCTTTGCTGAGTGTAAAAACACTCGGCAAATCCACGGCCTCCAGTAGTGTATCTGCACCACCTCCACCGTCGTTGCATCCCCCTGGACTATACCACGGGTACCCTCATCAATAATGCACAACCACCGAAGGCCGCTATGCCCCTACCCGAGAGTCAGATCAGTCGGGCATGGGCTCAGAAGACATGTCTAACCTCTAGGGGGGCCCGGCCTCCGACCTATAAAGATGACCGACCTCCATGATTTGACCCCCTGCTGTCCTGCAAACGGTTTTGACTCGTTGGTCGAGAAGGATAAGCTCCAGCCAAGCTTCCTAAGTACGGGCCCATATAACAAGTCGTCACTCTCAACAAGACCGAGCTACATCGCCTCCATGAACTTAGCATCCTCAGGGTGATTGAAACATCCATCGTTGTCATCATCATCCGTGTTAACAAATAGAACATCCAATGTAATATAATCATCATGATCGACCAGGGATTCGACTGCGTCACCATGGCTGTCCATCATAGAAAAATGATGACCTGTCTGCACTAATGTTCTTCTGGATGTAGTACTACCTCTTTTTTGTATCAGTATTTTCTAACTATTTTAGTGGTTTGGATCGAAATTTTACCGTTGTTCTAAGCTGTTATAAGCTACCGGAAAATACGGGAGGTAGTAATGAATTCTGGTTTTACCTCTATTACGTCCACCACGTACGAGTACACCCGCATGGTGCTCCACTGCGACATCAAGGCCGGCACCCAGCAAGACGTACGTGTCCTGCCGCGCGCGAGTTCAGCCGGCCGCGCGTCCTCGTCCACACCGCAACTCCTTTACCGATCGACATCAACGTCGCCAGCACGCGCGCGCGGCTTCATCGCGCCCATGTGCTCCGTGGGGCACAAGGCGTCGCGGGACGGCGGGAGACGGATGTGTTCGCGTCCGCCGTCCGGCGCGGCGGCGCGCTCATACCGGAGGTGGTCACAGACTCACGGCAGTGCACGCTGCGCAGCTACCCCAGGTGGCCGCTGCTGTCGCACCGGGTGTGGCGTGAGGCAGATGGATGATCGCAGCGCGCTGCTCCGCGCCGTGGAGCTCAACCACGACGAGGCCTGCCGCCTGCTGCTCGTCACCGTACCCTGGCGTGCAACAGCTAGCCCCAAGCCCCCAACCCGGGCAACCACCCGGCCGACCATGCTGCAGGTGCTGCAGATACTGTCCAAGGCCTCGCCACCGCCAAGGACCAAGGCCTTTCCACGATCGTGAGTTCTCCCACTGCTGCGGAACGAGGGACGGGGTGCAGCAAGTACATACGTGGCCACATTATTAATCAGAAACTGTCCGAGCATTTTGAAACCGACTGACACAGAGGATCTCGATCATAGGTCAGGTTCGTAATTTATTATTTACCTCCAGCGTCCTGAAATCAGCTCCTGCCTTGAGCGATTCTCTCTCCGCCAGGTGCGCAGCTACTCCGATCCTTCCATATATCTGCCGTGCGCCTCGTGCATTGGCACTTCCTGCATCATCACCTCATGTCCTCATCACGAGGATTAGGCAAAGGCACAGGAAAATCACGAAATGAAGGAACTGCGATTTAGTCAAGTGACATTTTGTCCCTCCTCTGTCATCTCATATTGCATACCGATGATGATATGATGCTACTTTGTGTGTTCTACAGTATTCTATGAGTTTGGTTAGCCATTTATTGACTTGATGGAAATATAGATGCCTGAACTAACTGTTTAATTTAATTGTTTCGATGGATGTAGAAGTAGCAATATACTAACCTAGCTAGAAGCTAGGGGTCAGTACGTAGTCAAGGTATATCGATTGAGAATAGAGACGCATGCAAATAAGTCATTCCTACCTCATCTTCAGTTGATCTGACTGTTTTAGTATTTTCGCCTACAACTCTCCGGCTTAATTACATCTTAATTTGTTCTTTTACACCTTTATTTGCAACCCAAGCTGACTACTATTTGCCATCCATCATTGACCTTCTATTCACTCCTAAACTGAAGATACTCTTTATTTGCAACCCAAGCTGACTACACACTACTGGAAACAGGGCATTTGCTGAGTGCAAACTGCTTTGCTGAGTGTCAAAAATCGGGCACTCGGCAAAGATTTTTTTTGCCGAGTGCCGCACTCGGCAAAAAATTGCAACCGGACACTCGGCAAAGGACTTCTTTGCCGAGTGCCAGGCTCTCGGCAAAAGCCCGATACTCAAAGCATAGGCTGCCCAGCCAGAACGGTGTTCGCCACGTCCTTCTTTGCCGAAAGTGCCCTGCTGTTAGGCACTCGGCAAAGATTTTTTTTTGAAAATATACTTTGCCGAGTGCCCCGACACGGCTGGGCAAAGATTCAATTTTTTGAAATGTCTTTGCCGAAAGTGCCCACCGATTGACATTCGCAAAGAGAGGAATTAAAAATTACTTTTTTGAAATACCTTTGCCGAAAGTGCCCCTGTGAAGGCACTCGGCAAATAGGAAATTTCTAAAAAATTCAAAAACCCTTTTGTCGAAGCGCCTTATTCTTGGCACTCGGCAAAGACCCCTTTGCCGAAAGTGCCATGCCCTCGCCGCTAAACAAAAGTTTTTTTTTGCCTCCAAAATTTTGTGCAGCTCTTTTAAAGTACCAGAACTCCTCGTTAGAATTTGTGGATTTTTGTGGCTTTTTGATATATTTATGTCGACACAAAATTACGCCCCTGCGCCGAGGACACACGAACAAGCGGAAGGGTGCGCTTTCGGTCGAAGCAGATCCGCTTAGTTTTCAGCCAAGCAGGATGGTCGATCTGCGCGCAAATCCTCTCGAGGCGTGCCAGTCAATTTGACCCTGTAATTGACAATGAGAGAAAGTTCATCGGTAATTAATGGCGGAACGTGCCGGTGTTGTCAGACAGTCCCGAATGTGCGACTATGAGAGCCGATATGCAAGGAGATCGGTTAAATAGCCGATTCCAGTATATTTATGAAGATGAATCGATTAAAGCTCATGAGGTAGTATAAGAAGAATCGGTTATCATCCAGGATGTACATCATTAATCGAACAAACTTTAATCAATGGCAATAAAGTATTAACGATGAATAGTTCATAACGAGCCAATGATTGTGAGTAACCGAACTCCTTCTATATAAAGAAACAATTCAACACCATTCAACCATTTGATAAAGATAAATCTAATAAATATGTTAGATCTCATCTATCGCTATGACCAGTGGGGTATGAGGCAGAATCATGCAGGCCGTAGAAATAACAATAGACTCAACGATATTTGTAAACATCGTACGTGACAACGTGCACGAAATCTTCTGAAATTTTTATCATAGCCTCCACATACGATATCACGACATCTCAACAAGTTTCATAATTTTTGGACTTCGTTTGCTTTTTATAGAATTTAAAAACACTTCGCACGCAAGTTCGCGGTCATGTTTCGTGAACAAGATATCCGAAATTTCGGGTCCGTTCCTGGATACGGCCTCACACTACACTCAGTAACATGACTATCATTTTTTTGAATCATTAAAATCCATTATTCATACCGCGTGCAGTTCAAATTTATATTTTTCGAAAAAAATCAAGTAAACAAAATAAAGTAACTAAATATATAAAAAGCCACAAAAAATCCCCAGATTTTAACGAGGAGTTCCTGGTAGTATAAAAGGGCTGCACAAAAAATTTGAAGGCCAAAAACAAAAAAAAACTTTACCGAGCGCCGGGGCATGGCACTCGGCAAAGGGGGTCTTTGCTGAGTGCCAAGAATAAGGCACTCCGCAAAGAGGGTTTTTGAATTTTTTTAGAAAGGTATTTCAAAAAAAAAATCTATGCCGACGGCCAGATCGGGGCACTCGCCAAAGTTGCCTCCTTTGCCGAGTGCCTCCCTGATCCGGCGCTCGGCAAAGGGGCGGGTGGGGGCACTTAGGCGAATTCGGCCGGGCAATCCAAGCCACACAGACAGACAGCCCCCGCGCGCGCCGCTCCCGGCCAACGCCGCCCCGCGCCGCCGCCCGCCAACGCCGGCCCGCCCCCGCGCCGCGCGCAGCCCTCCCCTCCCCGTGCGGCGCGTGGTGCTGTCCTCCACCATCGGCACCATGTACATGGACCCGCGCCGCGACCCGGACGCGCCGCTCGGCGACTCCAGCTGGAGCGACCTCGAGTACTGCAAGAGCACCGAGGTAAATGAAAGACGGAATCGATTCTTTACCCTGAGAATCTCGCCTGCAAATCAATTACAAAAGAAATCTCTCCCGAGTCCTGACGCCGTTGGAACTCGCAGAACTGGTACTGCTACGCAAAGTCAATCACGGAGCAGGGCGCGTGGGAGGCCGCGCGGGCGCGGGGGCTGGACCTGGCGGTGGTCATCCCGGTGGTGGTGCTCGGCGAGCTGCTGCAGCCCAGCATGAACACCAGCACCCTGCACATACTCAAGTACCTCACTGGGCAGACCAAGGAGTACGTCAACAAATCGCATGCCTACGTGCACGTCAAGGACGCTGCCGAGGCGCACGTCAGGGTGCTCGAGGCGCCTGGCGCCGGCGGGCGGCGGTACGTCTGCGCCGAGCGCACTCTGCACCGCGGCGAGCTCTGCCGCATGCTCGCCGGACTCTTCCCGGAGTATCCTATTCCGACAAGGTATAGCAATTCACAGCTTCTTGGAGCATGGTTTCCTTTATGGGCCCAAATCTCCTGATATTTTCGATATATTCTTTTTATCCATAGGTGCCGATAAGAAAATATATATCTTTTTCATACAAATTTTGTTTAAATTTATTTAAATTTACTTAAATTCGAATTAAATTTTATTTGAATTTGGTCCGATATTTCCGATATATCATGTTTATCCTCTTTATCTATGACCCCCGATAAATTTTAGTTTCCGAAAATGAAAACCTTGTCTTGGAGTGCCCTCTATTCTCATGTCTGAATCACTGCTGATGTTGGCTTGCTTCAATCAAGATTCATGACGCATTAGTATTCTGATGAAGAAATTGAAGAATTCACTAGCATGGTTTAGGAACATTAAAGAATGCGGCTGCTCTGCTTGAGTTGCAGCATTTTATATTGGTTCTATATACAAACCAATAGTTATCGTTTCGGACATGAAGAAATCAAAGGAAGGCAATAGTGGACTGCTCCAAAATTGAACTTCTGCACAGTAATATGAAGAAATCAATGGTCAAGGGGGTTTATGAGTAAACCCAATTGGTCTGGTCACTAACGAGTAGTTAATAGATTTTAGACAAGGTCAAGATGGCCAAAATTAAGGGTATCCGTGGATAGAAATCTCGATCTGATGCTGCACAATACTTTATTTGCATTATTGCATAGCTGCAGAGTCAAATACCCATTGTCAAAAAAATACCCACGTTTAGGAAACTGACATCCAGACTAAATTTGGCCATGTACTTTGCTCGCGTCGTGCATTAGGCCCCGCCGTCAAGGGCTGACGGGTACGTAGAAATTGTATTTTCCTTTAAAAAAATTCCATTCTACTGTACAAGATATATAAAAGCATGATTGGAATTTGCTCAAAAAAAAAAGCATGATTGGAATGTTGAGGCGATAGCTCAATTCTATGCCACTTTATATTTTGAGGAAGGTGATGTGAGGAGAATTATTGGATGACAGAAGAGCAAGGTTACTTTGATTTTTTTTTTGGGTAAAGTATAATTTACACCCTCCAACTATCGTCAAAGTATAGATTTCAACCTCGAACTTCAAAACCGGATAACTTTGGTCCTCCAACTCTTGAAAAAGTTCAAATTTCAACCTTCTGGGCGGTTTTGCGTATGAACAGTACTTTTGATATTTTTAGGAGGCGCTGAAATTTTATATTATTTTTTTAAGCATCTTAACGTCCTCAAATGAAAAAACTCAAAACTACAAAGTTGTAGATATCATTGAGAGCTACAACTTTTGTATAAAAAGTATTTTCATTTAACTCCATACAAATAATATAGGGAAATTTTGCTGTGGCACACTCCAGTTATGTGAGGCACATATTTTGTGACTGGTTGCACGCTCCGGTAGCGCACGACCCATCTTCCTCCTCGCGTTGCCTCTCCCTGCCACCCTTCCTCCGTCGCCCCCTCCCCCAACCTCCACCACTGGCGGCCGGCGGCTCCCGCCGCCTCACCGCGCCGCCCACCTCCCGCCCTCCCCTAAAGCTCCATCGCGACACCCCTCGCCTGCCCCATCACGCCTTGCCTCGCCCATCACTCGACCCTAATCCTGTAGGGGGGACGATGGCAAGCTCCCGCCGTGACACCCCCACCGCCCAGCCCGCCCGCCATCATCTCGCCCGCCTCCCCAAAACCCCACTTCTAAGCTCGCCAATGAGGATGTGAAACTAACACCAATGAGCTTCTCGTCTTTGACACCGGTGAGCTCCTCGCTAGAACACTATAGCTGCCTTCTTCCTCTCCCGCTGGCGGTATGCGTCGCGGCGCTCGACGCGTCAGCCGTGAAGTGTCGCGAAAAGAATTACCTTTTTGTTCCATGCGCGTGCCTTCCCTCACCACTCGGTCTCGGGTGCTCAATATGTTGCATGGGGCCTCAACTCCAAGTATCGCCATGCCATCTCCGTCATACACCGCCAAGCACCTCTCGGTGAGGGGCTCCTCCTATATTCTTCTTGAGGATCTTTTACGACAGGGAACATGTGAAGGAGTCCCATCAGGCCCTTGCCACCATCGGCAATGTGGCTCGGTCCTCCGGCGGCTCCAGCGTCAAAGCCCTCGGGTCCTGGTCCAAGACCTTGACTACCTCAATAAGAAAGCGTCGTAGCCTTGGAACCTTTTCGACCGACGGTATCACCACAGAACCCTCCTTTCCTAGGCTTCGATTCGGACATGGGTTTGCGCCACGTCCTCCTACAACGCCATGGAGCCCAGTCTTGGCCCATGCCTTTCCGTCGGCTCCCTGGCGCTGGTGTTCTTGGCGGGTCGGTCTGGCACATCGCCTCACCAGGCCTACTTCTCCACGGTTGCCATTCCCACCCAAACCAGTCCCCTTCATCTACAGGATGTTCTCATTTCGACATTTAATTTCTCGTGGTCTGATTAAGAACCTAATCTCTATCCGTGCTCGACTCATGACAATAATGTTTCTATCGAGTTTGACCCATTTGGTTTCTCCATTACTCTATCTATTTGCGGTTGCCATTCACTCAAGCTCTCCTCGCCGTGCGCGCCTCTCTCTAGTGCCAACATCAGCATGAGCCACACGCTATGGGATCCCAACCGCCTTGCTGCTGCCATAGAAAAACAGGAGTTCAAGGCGCCCGGTCCGGTCAAACCGTACTGGCGCCTGTCGATCGCTCACGTGGCGCCCACATCGGCAAATGGGTGTTCTTCTGTTGTACATTGGCCACTAATCTTCTATTGTACATGTAATCCGGAGTACAAGCTAGCTAGCTAGGCGAGTGCATCTAGGTGGTCAACAAAACGATCAGCTAGCGGGGCCAAGCAGCCATTGGCAAAGCTCAGCAGCTTGGATGCCGTAGCCCTTTGGAGACGACAAGGTGGACATGGATAATCCTATTCCTAGTTGATGTGAAAACTAAACTGGAAATTAATCAATTGGGTGTGCATCAAAATTTCCTCCAAAACGATCCGGGATGGAAGCGGTGGTGGGACGAGGATTATGAAATAACATGATAAGCCTTAAATTCAAAAATTAAGCTAGCTAGAAACTTGGACAACTTATGATATAAATAGTTCAAATGCAAATAGTTCAAAATATAGCGGTAAAAGAGACTTATAATACTACTTGTCCGACTTGTTTATCTACCGCTTTATGAATGACATAAATGTCTCGATTATATCATTCTCATCCACTTAGAAGAAAATATCCGGCTCAATGATTTTGACTAGACAATCATCGAAGCTTAGCTAATTATACCTTTACTTTGTTTTCACTATAATCAATGTAGAAATACCCTTTCAACACTTTCCGTTGCCATCGTAAAAGCAATATCAATTTGAGGAGCCGGTAAACCATATCATACACTTTGTGCCTTTGTGTTTCAACAAGCTTAAGCGAGAGGTCAACAATTTTGTGTAGACCTTTGAAGCTATCATCTCAAATCACGTGACGTCAATACAAAGTTGCAATTCAAGTTTTAGCAAATCATGGTTGGAGAACTCCTTAGGGTAGAATTCCGCCAATCTAAGTGCATCAAAAGAATCAAATGAGTTGGAAGGACTAAAGGCTAACATACAAGAGAGTACCTCTATATTGATTTCATCAAACCGATTATGATGCTCTTGACTAATTTGATCAATGACACCGATATATACTTCTCTTTTGAAATGATCATCATTTGTTTGATTTAGGGCACGGGCATACCCTGCCGATTTTTCATAAGGAACATAATCACCATCCAGAGCAGGAACATTATGATTAATGCAAAAAGAAGTGACCCTCCTCTCAAGAAATTGATCCCAACCATCGGACCTCAATTGTTGTATTCTGATTTTTTGCCACATTAACAAGTGAGATTGCATTAAGAATATCTTGATCCCTTGTCTGCAAACACTCGGATAACTCATTTGTGTATCCAAGAATTAATAACATAACATACATCAAGTGCGCAAAGAAAACAAACTCAAAGGTTTCAAATGCTCCAAGCACAAAATGTATCTTTGTCCAATCATCCTATGTGAAATATCATCACCAAGATCAATGTTCACATCATGGATATTGAGGAATACATAGTGATGATGATGCATATAGTTTTGTAATGAGAGCCCCACCGAGTCTCACCAGGCCTAGGCAAACCCATATCTTTAGTCCACAATTCAAGCTCACACAACTCAAGTACTTTATTGATATTCTCAAGCCTAGCATTTCGAAGCATAGAATGACGCTTGCAAGAAACTCCAACAATATTAAACAAGATAGATACCTGATGAGAAAAGCTCTTACAATCAATATTTCCCTTGGCAATAGCAACAAGAGAACTATACTAGTTGGAGTTGATGTGCAAAGCAATGAATATAATACATGTGATTCTTGCATGACCAATGTTTTTATCCCTTTAATTAATATCTCATTTCATATTGCTAGCCCCGGCCCATCATAACCTTGACCTATGGTTTGAGTCACATAGTCAATCCATGACTAACAAGTAAACCTTGATGCAAGTTTTTCACGACCGATAGACGGTCCGGTGCAAGCTTTTAATTTCCCATCTATAATCGGTGTTTGCGTTTACGTTTTCACAGCAGACAGACCGTCCGGTGCAAGCTTTTTTCATCAATCCATAGTCGGCGAGTTTCAGTGCTTCAGTGAGGATTGTCCAGTGCATGCCTGTAGCGCCGGACTGTCTGCCGGCGCTCCTATTTGTGCCGATAGATAGCTCGTCAGTCTGTGACCCGTGCGTTCTAGAACTTTGATGTGTGGCTGTCTTCTGCGCCAATAACTATTTAGTCAACCTGATGATGCTAGGTGCGTCTGATATGCCTGCAAACTATATATACTACCTCGTTTTTATTAGTATTTTTGGAAGTTCTTTCGATAGAAATTTTTACCCTTGTTCTAAACTTTTGGAAAATGCGTACGTACGTACAGTTGGTAGTAATGAATTCTGGTCTTGGCATGTAATAATATAGGGATGGGCAGAACTCCATGGGCCGCAGAGTGCGCATTTAGTGCATGTTATCGACACTATCTATCCATAGATGACCATATATATATATATAATTGTTTTACAATCTGAATTACTGTGCACTGCATTGGTGGAGAGCCGCGAAGCGCTTTCTTCTTCTGGTGTATAAAAACTCGCCGCCCAAGCAGGGACCGTGAATGCATGCATGCTACTCCTTCCTATTAATGTGGGGGCTAAAATTAAATAGACATCACTACTGGATTCAGGCTTTGCCGAGTGCCGCTCTCGGCAAAGGCCACTCCGGAAAAAAATGGCCGGCAAAGCAGCCTTTGCCGAGAGCCATTTGTCGGGCTTTGCCGAGTGCCGAGACAGCACTCGGCAAAGAAAACGAGCCGTCACGGTGCAGGAAACGGTGACGGTGGTTTTGCCGAGTGCCAACCCGGACGGCACTCGGCAAAGTTTTTCATTTTTTTTAAAATTCTTTGCCGAGCGCCGCCCGGGCTGGCACTCGGTAAAGTTTTTTTTTAAAAAATTCTTTGCCGAGCGTCGTCCGGGATGGCACTCGGCAAAGGTTTTTATTTTTTTA